TCCATAAGATAATCCTCAAGAGATGATGCATTCATCAGTCAGAAATTCAAAATAACAAAATATGTAACTGAAAAAGTTTCCCTGAAAAGCGTCGAAGTTAAGTGAATGAACCTGTCCAACTTACAACTAAAGGGGTGTTAAAGTTCCAGGATAAAGGGGTGTCCAAGATAGAGAGTATTGTGGACATGTAAAATTATAGGATATTCACCAGTTCCGATTAAAAGTGTCCGATATAAAGGGGTGTCCACCTTGAGGGGTTTTACTGTACTTCTAAATGTACACTGTGAAATACAATGCATATAAGCTGGCTGTAAAATTTATTTAATTATAATGTAAGATGGAAAAATTGTCAAAACTATGTCACTGTAATTATCACTTAGTGTCTGTCTGTCCTCCCCGGTTTGAATTCTTTTGCTTCATGAGCTTTGTGACAGACGAAGAGGAATACCAAGTTGGTACCAATGCAATTGCTAGTCTGGCGACAACAGTTTGTTTTTTAAATTTTCTGTTGTAATACAAAACCAACTTATAGTCTGTAGAATGGAAATTTTTGTGTAAATAATGCTTCTGTGTCTTCATATTGTGTTCATTTTTATTTAAACTTTAAATCTTTAAAATATATGTATTCATACATGCTTTCCAACAGAAGTAATAATTATGAAACTACCAAAAGTTATTGAAGGAAATGGATTTATTTTTAAGATTTCCTAGAATAATAACATACTAACTGATCCAGAGGTGTCAGAAGGATTGAATTGCTATGAGGAAATGTGAGATGTTGAAGGTACCAATCCTAAGTACAGAAATAACAGGTGTGCCAAGCTGTTATCGTCTTGTCCATTATGTCGCTTCTGACATCTCTGAACTGATCTTTTTGACTTGAAAATACAATGCACGTAATGTTAAAGCTAAACATGCAGGTACATTAATCTAACAGTTTCAAAAGCTCTTAATGTGTGAACCAGGGAGCCATTCAGATCATGTCCTCATATTAGTTATATCAGGCAGGCTGTTTTGTTTTGGTAATACTCAAAAACAAAGTTATTATTGCATTTTATGGTTGAATTGTGACTCCAAAATTATGCGTCCCATCTTGACAATCCTACTGTTGATGTTTGTTATATAAGTAATGAATTTTTAACAGTGTACTGTGTTTTAAATCAATTCCCTTGTTTAGTTTCTGTTGATTATAGGTGGAAAACTGTGCACTACAAACTATGTGAGGTCTTTGTGAAGGTTATGGCGGGTCTGAACAAAAGTTAATCAGCATAATATTATACTGCCTCCGTCATCAGGGTGACGGAGGCAGTATGACCTCTGAAACGTTGGTTAACATCAACCAGACTACACAGCGCAACAACCCAGAAGACGGAAATCTTCATACTCACCACTGTGAGAACCTCAAGTCTTACACAGCATAATATTAATTTCTAACTTCCATAGTTTTATTTGGAAATTTTCATTACTTATGTGTTTCACCTTGTGTATGGGTTTTACGTAACTCCTTGCAAGCTGTTTACAAAATGAACCAGTTAGGCTATGAATTACAGAAACACATTGAAGTATCTTAATTGCTCGTATTGACATTCATCAAGAGATGTAAGAATCAATTTTTGTAGTGCTTTATATCAGTCAGAAAGAGATGTAGTAGTTGTTATACCTGTTTATATTTGGTCACCACATTGCCTGAAACTCACAAATAGGAAGAACATTTTACATGCTATAAGTTACTGATTTAAGTAGTTCTTTTTTGAGGCGAGGGGGTAGACATACTGTAACGAACTATAAATGTGTATATATTTTCTTGTCAATTTATGAATAATAAAATTTAGAAAAGTGGGATAGTTCGTATCTGTATGTGTATTAGTGTTTATGTAAAATATACTTAAATTAATGGTGATTTTTATTTATACTGTCATTTTGTTAAAAGTAGTTAGTTTTAAGGTAGTTACCATATACAGTGAAACCTCTATCCATCGTTCCCGGAACTATCGTTTTCCCGGATGCATCGTCCGTTTTGTTCGGTCCCGAATACATCCCATATAAAATAATGTTACATTTTCCCGCTTCTATCGTTCCTCGAACTATCGTTTTATCGCATCGATCGTTCAAAAATCTTAGTCCCGGCCAACAATTTTCCCGCAATGATCGTTTCTGAGAAATTAAAATGCTGGGTTTTGAGATAAATTAATACCGAAAGACGCACAATGTTTTTGGAATAAACAGTAGCGGTAACCTGTTATGTCGCCCGTAGTGCTTTATATCAGTCAGAAAGAGATGTAGTAGTTGTTATACCTGTTTATATTTGGTCACCACATTGCCTGAAACTCACAAATAGGAAGAACATTTTACATACTATAAGTTACTGATTTAAGTAGTTTTTTTTTGAGGCGAAGGGGTAGACATTCTGTAACGAACTATAAATGTGTATATATTTTCTTGTCATTTTATGAATAATAAAATTTAGAAAAGTGGGATAGTTCATATCTGTATGTGTATTAGTGTTTATGTAAAATATACTTCAATTAATAGTGATTTTTATTTATACTGACATTTTGTTAAAAGTAGTTTGTTTTAAGGTAGTTACCATATACATATTTGAGACATTATAATGCTGGGCTCCTTCACTTGTCTTAAAATATGTCCCGGAGTAAATTATAAATGTATTTGGTTTCATTGACTTAAGATGTAAATTAAATATAAAATTGTTACCTAAATGGATAGAAAATTCTAAAAGAGTTAGGTGTTGTTCTTATTGGAGCCCTTGTAGCTTACAATTCAGAGAAGCCATATTGTTTTAGGCTGGGATGTTAACACACATTGAAAACTCGCATTTACTTGAAGGGAAGCAGGACATCTATGCAGATTAATTTTTCTTTCTAGTGTAATGAACTTATGAGTATGATGTAGCATACAAAATGTAGCTTACAATTATGTTCTTGTACCATTCTTTATTGACATCAGTCTAAATTGTTATTTTTAATAACCTCATTAAACTTAACTTTATAAAATGTGTACATATACTATTTAAGTTTGCAGTTTAAATTTTATGTATGAAGCCCAGATAGGTTCATTGGTATTGCTTTGCACTGAGGATGCAAAATTAATAGAAAATGATTAATGGCTGAAAAAATTATTCTTCATATGATCATAACAGTATTGGTTTCTGGTAATCTTGGCTAAAATTAAGTTAGGTTATGTTAGATTAGAATAATGAAAATAGCATTTAATTTTTTGACAAAGTAAAAGTTATTCTTAACTATAACTGAAAGCCTCACTGTTATTCCTTATATTTCTGAGTCTGTTAGAAACGTGAGTGGAAACCAATTGGTTGATGCTGTTTAGTCTTTCTTCCAGACCTAATTGCAGGCATTACGACAGCAGGAGTTAGGAATTCTGATCCAAAATAAAATACACTTCGATGTGGTAACTTCTAATAATCTTGACTAGAATTGTGATTGCCATCTTGACAAGGTTCTAACAGTAAATTATATGAAAGAAAGTGGAGAGAGTAAAAAATTATAGGTATACTTCAGGTTGGCTGTTGCTTACCAACAACAGAACATGTTAAACATTAAAAAATGGAGAGAAAAGTATATTATATATTGTTGCCTGATTTTCAATGCTTCACAATGGCAAATGTTCTTAATAAGTTACATTCAAGGTATCTCATTTCATGAGGCAACCTGTTTATTTTTAAAAATACATTTTAATCTCTCCTCTTTTTTTATTTTTTGGTAATAAGCAGCTCTGATTTTCTTTGTGAATTAAACTGTATATAGAGACACATTGATTCAAAAATAAAACAAGAACTCATTTAGACCATGCATGAAAGTTCTGAATGACCCCAGACAGTCCACCAAATAATAACTGTGTATTTACATTCTACTACTGCTCCATAGTCACCCATGTGTTATCTGGGGGATGGACACTGTGCATGTTAGTGGGCGCAATTCCACAGAGACAGAGTCTTAATCCATTGTAAAATAAAGGAATTTCAGTTACAGTTGGAGGAAAGTTCTTTCTTAAACAGGAGGTCAAAGTGCTGGAAGGAGCTCCTGTTTGCCAGTGATGTTAACTACACGTTCTGAATTTTTAAATTCAAAGATGGCAACTAGATTCTGCAGTTGGCTGATGAAACAGCTGTTAAGAGTTCATGAAGTGGAAGGTTGATTAGAGGCTAATGTAAAATATTCTGTCTAACAACATTTTGTTCTTTCTACTTGATTATAAAGTTCTCTTTGTCTCTGAAGAAGACAAACCCAAAGAAAGTCTTAGAAACTTCGACAGGGAAAGGAAAATATCATTTTAGGCAGTAGCAGGTTTTATAAATGGTGCAAAGATGTAAGCCGTCATCCTGCTCTATTTAAGCTAAAATGGGCAAATATCATAACACCTGTTCTCAAACACATCTGTGAGCCTCATTTTGAGAGGTCAAGCTTTATACTGACAATGCAGCAGGCAAAATTCCAGTCTTTACGTTTTACAGAACAGACAGGAAGACAAAATTTTGTATCAGGAATTTCAACAGTTCTAATAGAATTAAATATATTGATGGCTTGTTTGAGACATCTGAAATTCGTTTCTCGTGAATTAGGCCAAAATGAAACAGCCCATTATTCTGCTTTACAACTTTTTTCGGCTGTCCGTTAGAAATGTTATTTACGTTTAAGTACGTCAGAATGTCACTGGAAAGGAAGTTGCAGCATGTCATGGTTGGTGTGCATGTGTGGTGAGCGCTGTCTGCAGGCCAGTTCGAGTTTACTGTCAATTCTAAGCGAGGAACTTCGTGGGTGTGTTCAATTAGAAGTGATAGTGTTTGAAAACAGCAATTTATGTACATAATTTATGCTTTTGAGTTGTTTTGATGTTCAATGAACTTTTAGGTTGTGTTAGAACCTGGTTAGCATGGACCAGACTACAGGGCGCAACAACCCAGAAGACAGAAATCTTCAGCAAAAAGGTACTTTTGTATATTTAACAAGTAAAATACTCATAGGACACAGCCATTGAGAAGTTTCTAATAGGCTCGGCTAGCCAAGGTATTGTCTTCTCTTTATGAAAATGATTGTCCAGTTTGCTGTAGCTCACAGCCAGTCCCTACCCTGCACCAGATCAATCTATTCCACGTTTTACTTCCCTAAAATATTTTTTAATATTGGCCTATACTAAGCAACAGTTAATATTGTAGTGTTTCATATTTTAATCTTTGTGTCTTTAGATGGAAAAATGAGTCCATGGGGTAGGACTGTCTGAAAAAGTACACGAACACTTGCGGCATATCACCAAATTAAGTTTGTGTTATACAGCCAGGTTCACCAACTTCCAGTTTGTTGCACCTCTTTTGTTAGCTGAGCGTCACTCGTTTGTGAAGGCATACAATCCATGAAATTAGTAGATTGAAGATCGTGTTTAAGAATTATTTCACGATTCGTTTACAATGTACTCTTCTGAAAAAATAAGAAGTGATCGACTGAGTACAGAAAGTAAATTAATTTATGGCAGATATTTTAAATATGTACATTTGGTTCTCTTTGGTTGGCACGATGCTCTGTGTTCCTCATAGCTGCAAAGTTACATCCATTAATACTCGTGACTTGGTAGCGTGGTGTTAGAAGATAGTTATGTCGTAATAAAATACAGATTACTATTTAAGTGACTGTGTATTTATTGTGTTGGCTTCTATTTTACTAACGCTTAAAAATGTCGGTTGAGAATTGGGTAAATATAAATTGTATGTGTGCAATCGGGTGCTGCATAAAATTCTCCATGTCTTGTGGAGTAGAAGATTCCAGAGTGTTGCAGTGTGCATTGTGTTAAAACAATATGAAACGTGTTATTATGAAGGGTTATTTCTGCTGTTAAACATTGAGTCACTGATTAGATTATAAAGATGCACACAACATTCTTGAATAGAAGTTAAAGTGAATAATACCGTTCTGCACTGGTGTCGACATGATGGAATTTAGTTACATTGATGTGTACTTACTTTTTGTGGAAGGAAAGATTAAGGTGAGTGAATCCAGATTCACAATTTTACTGTTTATTTTGTGATAGGCTTACGTTGAGGTGAAGGATGCTGCTATATGTAGGCCTACACAAAATCGCGTTTCGTGTTTGAAATTTACAGGAGGATTATGTGCACAGAATTATCTCTGTTCCATCATAATCTGTATTTGGTCTTGAGATGTGAATTCAAGCAACACACTTCAAAATGTTTAATATAAGATTTGTATAAATTATTGAAATGTGAGAAGAGACTAGTAGGTTATACATAAATTCTCTTTCAAATGATAATTTTTTTAGAAAATTATGAATAAGATACTGCAGGCAGTGTAAATCATTCTGTGTAATAATTTTAAGTTGAGACAAGCATCAGTTTTTTTAAACTTATAAAGACAATGCAAATTTATCTGTGATGCTTAACTAAGCACCATGCTATGAAGACGTGGAGAAATTGAGGTATGTTTTCATTCCGTAATTGGCTAATGTGACACGGGTTTTTGTCAATACTAGGACTCAATCGTGACTTTAGTGTAACATCTTAGTAAGCTGATATTTGAGATCCTCAAGGAGAAGTTAGAGATTAAGTTGTACTTACATTATGCTGGAAGTTTTTCTGCGTATCACAAAACACAATTCAATTTTCAAGAGCACTTGAAAATCATCAGAAAACATCAGCAAACACCCATACAAAACAAGGCAAAATTATTGTTTTGTATACTTTAATCTTGAGGTTCCTAGAAATCAGACGGGAAGACAAATTATTTTGAACTGAAAGGTAGGAAGCATTTCCAAAATTTAGTCTCCTACTAACTTCCTCATGAGTATCATTTTGATTTGTGATTGTTTCCAAATATTTTAACTTTGTCGCACTTTCAAAGGATTCATTAGCCACCCTAAGACAATTCTGCCTGCTTGTCTGCTGATGAGATACAAACACAGACTTGGTTTTTTCTGAATTGACTTCTAGCCCCACCTGTCTACTAGCCTCTAGTAAAACTACTCTGTTCCTCTTTATTGTTTTTATATCATCTCCCAATAAATTAACATCATCAACATATGCCAGTAGCTGATGTGTCCCATTCAACTGCAAACCCTCATGCCTATCTTGGACTTTCCTGATGGTGTATTCTAATGCAAAGTTAAAGAGAGCAAGGGAGACAAAGCATCTCCCTGTTTTTGACAGTTCTTGATGGAAAATTACGCTGATAAATATTTACCTATAGGAATTTTGCTACAGGTT